CCGTAAAAATGGTTTTCATATTGAAACCCATGAAGACAACAAAGAGGAGTATCTACTCTTTACTAAAGATGACGGATATGGCAAAAAGGTACATGAGAAAATTCCTTCTCTATCGTCTGGTTTGTACTATATGTACATCAAACCCGTGGAACATGTTGCATACAAAGTAATTTTTCAGAATGTTAACGCATTCCAAACCTGGCATGATCGCCTAGGCCATCCTGGAATAGGGATGATGAGAAAAATTACTAGCAATTCCATTGGTCATAATTTGCTTGAGTCAAAATTTCCTCAATCTTCTGATTTTGTGTGCACATCTTGTGCCACGGGAAAGCTAATTTTGAGGCCCTCGCACCTCAAAATACAAGCTGAACCACTTTAGTTCCTTGAATGTATTCAAGGAGATATTTGTGGTCCCATTCAGCCATTATCTGGACCTTTCCGGTATTTCATGGTTCTGATTGATGCATCTACACGATGGTCACATGTGTGTCTTGTATCCACACGAAACCATGCATTTACCAAGATAATGAGGCAAGTCATTAAGTTGCAAGCCCATTATCCTGAAAGTCGAATTAAATCAATTCAAATGGACAATGCTGCAGAATTCTCCTCACGTGCTTTCAATGATTATTGCATGGCTTTGGGCATTGAAGTTCAGCACTCTGTTCCATATGTCCATACACAAAATGGTTTGGCTGAAGCATTGATTAAGAGAATCAAACTCATTGCAAGACCTTTGTTGACGAATTGCAACTTGCCAACCTCTTGTTGGGGTCACGCTGTTTTACACGCTGCTGACTTGATACAATTGAGGCCAACTGCATATCACAGTTCTTCCCCTCTGGAATTGGTACGTGGAAATCCTCCAAGCATTTCCCATCTGCGTAAGTTCGGATGTGCTGCATACATCCCGATCTCACCACCACAGCGGACATGTATGGGGCCACACAGGAAGTTGGGGATCTATGTGGGGTACAAATCGCCGTCGATTATTAAGTACCTGGAACCCCTGACTGGGGATCTGTTCACAGCTCGTCACGCTTATTGCATATTTAATGAGGAACATTTTCCGGCATTAGGGGGAGATTTCAAGTACCAGAAAGAATGCCCGGAAATTGATTGGAATGCTCATGCCATTTCATCCTCTGGTCCACGTACCCAAGAGACCGAACTTCTAGTTCGGAAGATCATTAATTTGCAACATCTTGCAAATAATCTGCCATATTCATTTACTGATCTGAAAGGTGTTACAAAATCCTTAAATCCGGCCAAAAACGCGCCAGAAAGAGTGGAGGTACCAATAAAAACCACTCAACTCCCTATTCCCAAAAAGAGGGGGAGTAGTACGGCCTCTGACCTGGAGCATGCTTCTAGAAAGCAGCAAAGGAAAGCGAGGAGAAAAACCTCAGAGTCAGTAAATGCAGGTCAACTCAATGTTGACAAACACCTGATGGCTAGTATACACCCAGTGGAAGGTCAACTTCCACAACCCAGTTCCAGTATGCACAAACTGACTGGGACATCGGAACACCCAGACTCGATCGTATTGGGAAATCACGAAGAGTCATTAGGGGTGCAGGAAATTTCCATTAACTATGTTGATTCTGGAGAATTATTTGACCGTAAGACTACGACTGTCGACATATATTTTGCTGACAAGATTGCAGATACCCTTCTCACTGATCATGATCCAAGGTTATCGTTGAGTGCCAAAAGCGCTCCGACTTGCCTAAATGGAAGGATGCAATCCAAGTAGAAATTGCCTCGCTTAACAAAAGAAAGGTATTCACTGAAGCAATACCTACACCTCCCAGTGTTTTCGCTGTGGGATTCAAATGGGTTTTTCTCCGGAAACGTGATGAGAACAATGAGGTGGTGAGATATAAAGCAAGGCTCGTAGCACAAGGTTTCACGCAGAAACCCGGCATTGATTTCACTGAAACATATTCTCCAGTAATGAGTGCAACCACTTTCCGATATCTTATATCCTTGGTAGTGCAAAATCGTCTATCTACGCAGTTGATGGACGTTGTGACCGCATACCTTTATGGGTCACTAGATTCGGACATATATATGAAGGTTCCTGATGGAATCCCTGTCCCGAATAAAAATGCAAAACACAACATGTATTGTGTAAAGCTGAATAAGTCATTATATGGCTTAAGGCAGTCGGGACGGATGTGGTACAACCGACTCAGTGAGTTCCTTCTTCAGAAAGGTTACTCCAATAGTGTTGATTGCCCATGTGTTTTCATCAAGAAGTCCTCTACGGGATTTTGCATCATTTCTGTGTATGTTGATGATCTCAACATCATCGGCAGCACACCAGACATTGATGAAGCACGCAATCACCTAAAGATGGAATTTGAGATGAAGGATTTGGGTAAAACCAAATTTTTCTTAGGTATTCAACTTGAGAATCTTCCCACAGGAATCATGGTACACCAATCTGCCTATATCCAGAAAATATTGGAGAAATTCAATATGGACAAATCCTATCCATCTAAAACTCCCATGGTGGTTCGATCTCTAGACGTAGAGAAAGATCCGTTCAGATCAAGGGATGATGGAGAAGAGGTGTTGGGGCCTGAAGTTCCATACCTTAGTGCTGTTGGAGCGCTTATGTATCTTGCGAATTGCACAAGACCTGATATTGCATTTGCAGTGAATCTACTTGCTAGACATAGCGCAGCTCCCACCAAACGTCATTGGTCTGGAGTGAAGAATATCTTTTGATATCTCCAAGGCACAAAGGATCTTGGCCTACTTTTCCAGTTCCAGAAAAATCAGGACTCTGATGTGTTTGGGTATGCAGATGCCGGCTATTTGTCTGATCCCCATAATGCCAGATCTCAGACCGGCTTCGTGTTCCTACATGGTGGTACTGCTATGTCATGGAAGTCTTCGAAACAGACTCTGGTGACAACATCTACCAATCATTCTGAAATAATTTCATTATTTGAAGCAACATGCGAATGTGTATGGCTTCGCAGAATGATAAACCACATACAACAGTCATGTGGAATGGGTTCGATAAAATCACCTACCATTATCTATGAAGATAATGCGGCTTGTGTTGCGCAGATGCAAACAGGATACATCAAGAGTAATATCACCAAGCATATTTCTCCTAAATGGTTCTTTCCCCATAATCTTCAAAAAAGCGGGGAAATAAGCATTCTGCAAGTCAAATCATGTGACAACCTTGCTGATTTATTTACCAAGTCTCTACCAAATTCTACATTTCAGAAATGTGTTCATGGAATTGGTATGCGAAGACTTAGGGACTTGCAGGTGTCATGGGAGTCTCTTCTTGAGATATCCTCATTTTAATGACATCATATTATGCTATCTTTTTTTGTGAGTATATGTTTCAGGACCTCATCAAAGATTTTATGAAGAACTTTTGAAGGAGAATCTTTTGAGATGATAGAGCTTCCCGGACAATCGTGAAGATGATCTACATGGTCAAGCGTAGATTAGGGGGAGTGTTAAAAATAATTCTGTAATTAGGGGAAAATCTCCCCTTGCCCAAGCCGTCGTTGCGGTTTGTCCCGCAACCGACGCCTCCCTTCGATCTCCTGGAACCGACGCCTCCTCGAGGGATCGTCGTGTCTCTTCGGGAGATATAAAAGGGGGCCTGTAACCATCGTTCAATGGATTCGATCATTCTGATTCAAAACATAAAGTATGAGTAGGCTTCTCAAGTGGCACGCTACCATGAATCTAGGTAGGCGGGAGGCCAGCCAGCCGATGTGAATGCGCGAAGAGTTTTAGAGCTGGATGACCGAAGGGATTTTTGGATGGGATAGATGGTTCGGAGTCCGACGTGGCGGGCCTCCAAACTACCATAGAGATCCCTCTGTTTGGGTCGGTTTCTGGAATTTCGGACTTCTAAACCAATCTGACCCATTTGGACGGTCCATTTTTGTATCCGGATGGTCGGTTGGAACATTTGCATGCATTAGAGCATCTACAATCATGGTTGCCTAATTTGTGGTCCTTTACATCCACATAGAGTGAGTGCAAGCCCTGTTTCTCCTAGTCGTGGTCCTCAAATGTCCTCCCCAAATACATACAAAAGCATGCAAACTACGTAGATGATAAAACATATAAAACATAGCAATCTTCATATAGAACATATTAAACATATAATATCATCAAGACGGAGGGCCTCGTCATCATCGCTGGTTGGCGGTAATGGACCGACATGAATGTACAGGTCAGGACCTACAGCCGGAGTGGCTTGAGGCGGCCACCGCCGCACTCTGCTGTGCGTGGCGATCGACATGTGCCTTGGATTTGGGCGGCAGTGGCCGCGGGCCGGGCACAAGGACCCACCGCCCACCCAAGAAGAGCAGGGCAGGCGCGCGGACCGTGTGTCGGGCGGCCGCGGGCCGGAGTGGAGCTTGATTGATCAATGTTGTAAGCAGATGACCTCACCCGGCCCTACTACTCCGGGTCAGAGGTACTAGTAGAATGTTTCTTTCATACTACTAGTCCACTTGTTGCATGATTGCTCTCTAAATATTCTGATCTGCTTATTGCTGGTAGGAGTAGACAAGATGAGCACGCCGTGTCGTTGACTTGTAGTGTTTCCACAAACCAGATCAACACCTCGGCAAGGAAAATCCCTCACGCACCGCGCCGCCACTGTCTTCTCTGGCTCTGGGACGTCCAGGTCGTGCAGGTGCTCACCCCCGGGCTGGCCGCGTCGGCGCCCAAGCTCAGGCCGGCCGGATCACCACAGTATGTATGTCATTTTCCATTCCTTTTATTTTGCTAATTGCACCTAAACAATCTGAATGCTCTGAATTTGTCCCTTCTAGACTTGATTATTGTTTGGATCTGGGATGACCGCTATGATTTATGTCCTAGCTAGATCTCTTTTCCTCTCTCTCTCTCTCTCTCTCCTACTTTTGTCCTGAATTTGTAGGAAGTGGTAGCGAAATTTCACATCTAATTGGTCTGTGTTCTCGCTAGCGACAGAGATCAACATGGAGCTGAGTCCAATCAGCGCTTCGTTGGGCGCCATGGGCTCCCTTCCGCGCAAGCTCGACGAGCTCCTTGCGACCAAACACCGGGCTCTGCGGGGGGTTCTGATGGATGATATCGATCAACTCAGGGCTCATCTTTGCATCCTATACAACTTCATGCTGAAGCTCTCTGATGCGCCGCAGGACCCTCCTATGTCTGTGAGGTACTGGATGAAGGATGTGCGCGAGCTATCCTATGACATGGAGGACTTTGCCGACCAATTCGTCCATGCTCATGGCCGTGCCAAGATCCCTAGAGCTAATCACCGCAAAAATAAAACCCGTTCTCGGGTAAAGATTGACCGCCTTCCAAAGAGGCACAAGTGGCGACCTGGGATCACCCACAAAATTTCAGAATTCAGGTCTCGAGCATATGAGGCGATTCAGCGCTACTGGAGGTACAAGTTTGATGATTGCGCCGCCAATCCTAGGTACTCACCTATTGGCCATGGCCGTCCAACTATTTTGCCACATCCTGATGACCTTGTTGGCATAGAAGGACCATCAAATGAGCTCGAGCGGTGGTTGATCAATGGAGAGGAGCAGCTCAAGGTGGTGTCCATTGTCGGTGGTGCAGGAATCGGTAAGACCACTCTTGCCTTGAAGTTGTGGGGTACACTCCGTGGACAATTCGAGTGTGGGGCATTTGTTCGGACAGCACAAAAGCCCGATATGAGACGTATTCTCAGGAACATACTCTTGCAAGTTCGACCGCACCAATCTCCCAACCATGGTGAGATGCGCCACCTAATTAACGACCTCAGAGAGTATCTACAAGACAAGAGGTAATAGTCCTTTGTAGCCATTTCTTTTACAGTAGTATATAATCATTGCCCAATTATATGCAAATTTTGTTTCGCGACATTGATCCATTTTTTGGGAATTACCGCGTTAGCATTTAAGCCAATTGAGAAAATCAACCTACAACATTCCAGTTATCTACCTCCACTTTGTTAATGTGGAAAAGTAGTGTCATGTGGAGCTAGCAGTGCATCTGAGGACACATGCCACAAGAGACATCAGATGTGGCATGGGCTTAGAGATAAGCTAAATTACTTTGTTTCCAAGTTAAGCCCGGTTTGTTTGGGCTTCAGCTTATGCCCCTTAGAAAACTAGAGGATACCCCGCGCGTTGCCGGGGGAATCGATTCCAATTAAGTCTGTGTGATTTGATTTTATGAAAAGTTAAACTGCCAATATATATGAACTGAAACAAAAGCACATGTTATATATTGTATTTCATTATTGTATAGCTAAAATATTTATTGAATATAAGTCACATAATATAATAATTTTTTTTCCGTGCATGTTCAATGGACCTTTGATGATGTGGCATGTGTCGTGTGATGGGAGGTGTCCATGAGATTAACTAATAATGAAAAAAAATCTCATGCATGTTGTGGTGGGCATTTGATGAGGTCGCATGTGTGCGTGTTAAGATAATAGAGATAGTGGGCAGGCTTCATAGTGGGGATCCACTATTTAGGTATATAGGATTACACACATATCGAGGAGCCATGTTGCTTCTCAGTACTGCTTTCCAGCAGTTATTTCTGAAGAAACTCCACTCAAAACACCTCAGAAGATCTACTAATAAAACATAAGTTTGTTGGTTTGTTTTAAATTAAGATCATATTGGTTTTGCTAGGAATGGTCCTATATAAAGGGATTAGACACTTCCTATGTTTATGCCACTAAAATCTTCTCGAAATTATGTTTGTGAAGAGTGAACAGAAGAGTCACTAAGGGCATGTTCTGAAACTCTCCCGCTCCTAAAAACACTCCAAATTCAGCTTCTGTTTGTAGCTTCTTGCTCCACACAGCGAATCACGCCCGTTCGGCAGCGTCGCTGGCTTCATCGTTGCTAGCTTTTTTTTGAAGGTAACTAGGGATTTATTCAAGGATCATCATATCCGGAATACAAGCAATGTCTGGTAGTAGTACCCCTAGCCACACATGGTGGCCCACCGGCAGAGACGCAACTCCTTTTGCTACCGAGTGGGCCTCGAAATTATTCTCCCTACGTTCAAAACAGAAAATAACAGAAGGAAAAAGGTTCCTGGTAATATAGATTTCATGCAATATTGGCGCATAAACTGGCGAAGCTTCTCTGTTGATGTTTGTAATCACCTCTAAGCAATCCAAAGCGATCTCGAGACTCTGCAAATTTAAGTCACGTGGAAGGGCAAGAGCCTCGCTGCATGCTTGCGCCTCCAAACTTGACGGGTCGATCAAACCATCAAAAACAACCTCTGATGCCCCTAGAAATTTGCCTGACCTGTCCCGGCACACTACAGCCGATGCCCCTTTCTCCCCAAGAGTAGAGATACCTCCGTCACAATTTATTTTTGCTGCTTCTCCTGCTGGTGGCAGCAAAGCTCGCACGTTCGGAGCTGAGTAGCGGCCCGGCTGCGCACTCGAAACTTGAATAGCTGCGATGTCGAGTTCCTCCAGAAATCTCCTGATGAAACTTATGGTTGACAACGGACTCTAGAACTCGTTCTCGTGTATGGCTTTCCGTCGAGCCCACCAGATTGGGCTGAAATAGTTGGCTGGCCTGTCTTAGCACCATAATGTTGAGGAGTCAGCATGAATCGTTTTCTCTTGCGGTGGCAAACTCTCGTAAATAGGTGCAACTCCAGCTTCTGTTAAACGCGAAGCTCATCTGACCTTGCTTCTCAAAATTGCACGGGAGGGAGGCTGAGCTTGCCGAAGCTAGCTTCTTCCGCCGGAATCGTTCGGCTCAGCTCCGCTCCAGAATTTTGTGAAGCGTGGAGGAGCGGGAGGAGATCAGAACAGGCCCTAAGGCTCTCCCTACTGTTAAATAAGAAAAAAAACTAGAAGAGTCAACATCTAGGAATTTCACTGATGCCATTTGCTTATGGATTTCTTGGTTGATATTTTTCGGATCGCCTAACAGTGTGAGCTCAGACCCTGCCTATGGGGCACAACACGTTGGGCAGGTAGTTTCGTTGGCTTGTAAGGACTAGGTAGTTTCCTAGTTATTTCCTGGTAGTTTCCTTGGCGTTGAGGACTTGACTAGAAGTAGACTATAGCTGTACAAGCAATTACGTAGTAGTTGCTAGGAAGGTGCTTTGCATGGTCGTGGTAGTAGTCCCGTAAGTGACATGCAAATACGTAGGGATTTCAGTGTGTGTGCTGTGTGCACCTCCAACCCGGCCTATAAAAGGACCCCGGGTCCTTCACTTGTAATCAGGCCATCTATCTATCTATCTATCTATCTTTTATAATATACATAAAATAATAGAAACGGCAGAGATTTACGGCTCAAAAGTTAAGAAATACGAACGTACTAGATTAACGCAGCTACCTATAAAAAAAGGAAACCTTGGCAGCGCAGCAGCATATGAATCGGATTAACGCAGCTCATTTTTTTTGCATGTAATATCGACAAAGAATCACAAACGCCTACATTGAAAAGATTGGCTGTACCCAAACATATATAACATTAGCAATTAATATACAAAATATATTTTTCATGTATAAATTATAACATTATAGTCGTTGCATATGATTTTGCGAAGTACTATCATTTGAAATTTTATCAACGAATATTCATGCGGAAAGGAGTTCTAACACTTTTGCACCTAAGACCAACTTAAAAGGCTAAAACAAGACACGTGCGCGCACACACACAGATATGTGGTGTGCATTAAATCTATCAAGGCAGATGCGCTGCAGATAGTTATCTAATTTAAAGAACATACCTCTATTTACATGTGCTTTTAAAAAAGTAAACTATAACATTAGCGATTTGGTTTCGTATAAACACGATCTACCAATAACCAATTATGAATAAATTATGAATAATACTACTTATTACATGGATGCATAGTACATCTATCTTTACATATAATTTTTAATGCAATATAAAAAGAAAAGAAGCACATTTCCCCTGTTAATGCATACATGGTCAATATATATCTAATTTAAGAATATACATTACATCAAACATTCTAATAGGTGGATAAAAGACAACTATATTCATATTCATATATAAATAGTTAGCAAAGTTGTGCGTTCGAAAGCATGTCAAAATTGTTGAAATTCGAGACAACTATGTCCATTGAACATGTATATAATCTAGCCACGCAAATGCGCGGGTCACTCTACTAGTTTCCCTTAGTTTTGAGAACCAAGGTATCAATCCAGTAGGATGTACAAGCAAGTCTTAAATCTTTGCACATGCACAAACAATCAAATGCACATGCACAAACAATCAAACACTTGCACCCAACGCGATAAAGAGGTTGTCAATCGCTTCATGGTCACTTGTTGCACTGATAATATAAAGTAGTACTAGCACAGCTCTCCTCACTTGTATGTGTGTGCGTGTGTCCACAACATAGCAAGTCTACTTCCCTAATGTGCGGAGAGTTAGCTAGTCTGTAGTTGGCTAACAAACAGTGCCAGTGGAAAAAAATCATTGTAGTTGGATTAGGAAGATTTCTCTTCTCCATGCAGGAAGTTAAAGGGGAAAGCTAGGGATTTATGGAAGAACCTTCACTCCCAATTAATTCCTCTTTGTCTCAGTATATAAAATTTACATTTACATTTTAACCCCTCTCACCTCTCTTTTTGTAACTAGCTCCTCACAACATTTTATACTTGCAAAGAGTGCCATCAAGAGTATCTATTCGTAAAAATAATTGACATTCCATGAAACAGGTGTCCTGACATCATTGAAAACAGAAGCCAAACCATGGTCTTCGCTGCGCTTTATGCTAGAATTCTCTGAATCGTGTTAAGAAACTGATGCTCTTGAAAAAATTAAATGTTAAATTGTTTCTATTTTATATTGACTTCTTGGTGTTTGGCTAACAAGCATGCTACACACACAATATCTGTCAGGTACTTTCTTATAATTGATGATTTATGGGCTACCTCGGTATGGGATGTGGTTAGTCGCGCATTTCCAAAGGGTGGTTGCAGCAGAATAATAACTACGACAGAGAGTATGGAAGTAGCTCTCGCATGCTGTTGTTTTTGCCCTGAGCACATTTTTAAAATGGAACCTCTTAGTGATAATGACTCAGAGAAATTACTGCTCCAAAGAATCCTTGTCTCAGGAAATCAAAGTCCGCAACAGTTTGAAGATGTTATACCTCAGATTATTAGAAGTTGTGGTGGCTTGCCATTAGCAATCATCATTGTAGCCAGAATTTTAGCAAGCCAACCTGAGAAACTAGACCAATGGGGCAGTGCACAGAATTCTTTTCATTCCATTTTTGGGACAAATCCTAACAAGGAAGGGTTTATGGGATAAATATTGGACATTTGTTTCAATAGTCTTCCACATTATTTGAAGACATGTCTGCTCTATCTTAGTACATATCCAGAGGGCTACCTATTCTCAAAAAATGATTTGATGAAGCAATGGGTAGCTGAGGGTTTAATATGTGCAAACAAAGGTGAAGACATGGAGGAAGTTGCCGGGAGCTATTTTGGTGAGCTTGTCAGTATGGGCCTGATCCAAGTTATGGATATCACCAATGATTTTGAGTTCTTGTCTTATTCAGTACACCAGCTGGTACTTGATCTCATTACATACAAGTCCATTGAAGATAACTTCATCACTATGGTGGATTATTCGCAAACAACAACACCACTTACTGATAAAATTCGTCGATTGTCGCTACACTTTGGTAGTGCAGCATATGCAACGACACCAGCAAGTACCAGATTATCACAAGCACGATCACTCTTCTTTTCTGGACTGTTTACTAGCATGCCTTTATTCATATTTTTTAAGCTTCTTCGAGTCCTAATCCTTCATATTTGGGATGATACTGGAGCCAAGATGTTGAACGTTACAGGAATTTGTGAACTTTTTTGGCTGAGATATTTGCAGGTCACATGTAATGTCACTGTAAAGCTACCAGATAAGATTGAAGCAATGAAACACCTGGAGACACTGGAAATAAATGCAAGAATACTTGATGTTCCACCGGATATTGTTAGACTTTCGAGCTTGTTGCATCTCTGCCTCCGAGGTGCAAATCTACCTAATGGTATTGGGTGCATCAGATCTCTACGTACGCTCATGTATTTTGACATTGGCAATAGCTCCGAAGACAACCTATGGGGCCTTGGTGAGCTGACAAACCTGCAGGATCTTCATCTCACTTATTCTTCATCACCCTCTAGTGAACATTTGAAGAGAAATCTGGTAGCTTTGGCCTCTTCACTTCGGAAACTTTGCAACCTCAAATCGTTCACTCTTGCTCCTGGTATTGCTGGAACTGTTGTTCTTTTTGATGGCTCAAGCAGCATGCCTACTCCCATGTTTCTAGAGAAACTTGAGTTGTTGCCGCCCATTTGCATCTTTTCTAGACTTCCCAGGTGGATCGGACAACTCCACAAAACCTGCATTATGAAAGTTGCTGTCAGAGAATTGCCGACAATTGATATTGCCATCCTTGCCGGATTACCTTCCCTCACAGTTCTCTCACTATCTGTTCATGCAGCTCCTGAGGGAAGGGTCGTCTTCAACGATAGGGAATTCCCAGTTCTCAAGTATTTTAAGTTTAGATGTGGTGTACTTTGCATGCATTTTATGCCAGGAGCCATGCCCAATCTGCAAAGACTCAAGTTAGGTTTCAACACACATATTGGGGAGAAGTATGACAATATGCTTGCTGGAATTGAGCACCTCTTAAACCTCCACGACATTGCTGGGAAAATAGGAGCTACCACCGAGTCTGAATGGAGTGCTGCAGAGTCAGCAATCAACAATGCCATAAACAAGCATCCAAGGTTTCCTAGACGTAACTTACAATGGGTGGATCCAGTCGAGGAAAAATGTTGTCCTTCGGAAAAACATCATTTGAGACAAGAAAAAGGCACAGTAGGTGAAAAACATGGGGTTCTAGAGAAAGCGATTGATATGAACAAACATGCGGACACTGGGTATGAATCTTCCTTATTAAAGTGGCAATTCCCTGCAACATTTCCTTTATTCATTCGTTTCTTTTCTTCCACTATTAGCATCATTTGTCAGAAAAAAGACTATTAACCGTAAGACAAAAGTGCTACAATAAATCTTTCTAGGCCATTTCCCAGCACCGTACAACATCTCACAATGTGGTTTCTGTGAAATCAAAGCTTGCTATAGTATATTGTTATTTTATCTTGTCTATAATGTTTTGACAATTTTTATTTTTCTGTACTCCAGGTTGTCTCAACCTCCCAATCTGCCATCAAATGTCGCTTCAGGTCGCCTGGAATCAGGTAGTTTAGTTGACGAATTACAAGAGTTTTCAGCACCATCATTGCCCTGTAAGGTGAGTTCTCTCAGACAAGTCGTACATAAAACCTATGATTTTTCTAAGTACCTTTTCTTCGAAACGGAGGCAAAAGATTTGCCTCATTCATTAAATAAGAAAGAAGAGTTATATAGTGTTACAAATGACCCACACATGCGGCATGGCAACTACTCGCGCAGAAGAATACACCCTAGTTTTTTAGCACCCGCGAGCACCCAAAGCTTGGCGGCGTCGATGATAGCACGGAGGAGGACCGGCGGCGGCGCGCTCTTGCACCGGAAGACCCGAGCGTTACGCTCATTCCAAATTGTCCAAGAGACAAGCATTGTCAGCGAGGCCAAGGCTCGTCGATTTGGGTTTCGCAAGCAGGTTCGCTTGTCCCACCATTGCAAAACTGATCTATCCAAGTGCTAAGAGGAGGTGTCCATGTGCACAAGACCGAATTCAAGGATGACCGAGTTCCATAGCCGAATGGTGTAGCGGCATTTGTAGAGGAGGTGCGCATCCGTCTCGCCAACCCGCTTGCACAACGGGCAAAGCCCACAGTTTTGCCAATGGAGGCGCTCCAGTCTATCAGCAGTCTGAATCCTGTCTTAGATAGCCAACCAAGCAAAGAACTTGACCTTGGGAGGGGCCCAAGCCTTCCAGATCATAAAATCCATGGGCGAAAGCATCAGGCCAAGGAACTGTGCCTTGTATGCGGTGGCCGCCGAGTAGGTCCCATCATTGGCGTGTTTTCAAATAATGTCATCGTCAGTTTGTGGATCCAGGTGTAGGTCATGCACAAGCATCCATAACGTGAAGAATTGGCAGATGTGGGCACCGGTGACGACGGTGTTGTGGCAGATCTTAAGAATCCAATTGTTTCCATTGAGGGCTTCGAGCACTTTCCAATTCTTATGTGTGGAGGCCTCATAAATCAAAGGTGCAATGACATTCGGTTTCTGCCCAAGAAGCCGCGGGTAGTCCTAGAAAGGTGTTTTGGCACCGTTTCCCAAAACGATGGTCGTTGAGGCATAGAAGAAGTCAATGTCCTCCTCCGTGCAAGGTTGCCCAAGCCCCACCCAAAGCTTGTTTGGCTCCTTCCATTCATACCATGAAAACCTGAGACGTAAGGCCCAAGCAAACTTGTCAGTGTCTAGAACCCCAAGGCCTCCGTACTCCTTGGGGGTGACAAACCACCTTCAATTCACTTTACATTTGGCACCGGCCGTCTTATGCGACGCAGACCAAAGAGCCCTTTCTAGTTTGTTGATGTTGTGGAGAGAGCGCGGTGGCACGATGAGAGGCGTGATGGCATACACTGCTTGGGAGGCAATGAACGATTTTACAAGTGTCGTGCGCCCAATGGTGGTGATGTTTTGGTCGTCCTAGGTGGCATGTTTGCCGGCCGCCTTGTCCTCAAGGTATTGGAAATCCATAGTCTTGAGCTGCCAGACTGAGAGTGGGAGTCCCAGGTGTTTCATCGGGAAGGTGGCTCTGGACACCAGAACGGCATTGAGGACATGATCCAAGTCAACGTTGGCACACCGGATGGGCACAACCGAGCTCTTGTGGAAGTTGGTGCACAAACCCTTGACGTCATCGAAGCCCTTCAGGATGGTGGAGAGTCCGCATATAATGGGGTTCTCATCATAGCACCTTGTCCCCGGATCTTATGTAGGAGGCCCTTCCTAGTTGCCAACTCAAGTATTTGGTGGAGCGGATCAATTGCGAGGACGAATAGTAGCGGTGAGATCGGGTCCCCTTGCTGAAATCCGTGACCATGCTTGATGGGAGGCCTAGGCAGCCCATTGAGCAAGAAACGCGAGGATGAGGAGCAAAGTAGCGCAGCAATCCAATCACGGGATTTGCCAGGGAATCCCCTACGTTGCATGAGGTCGAGGATGAATTTCCATTTGACAGAGTCGAAGGCTTTTCTTATGTCAAGCTTGAAAAGAAGGGCAGGGATCTTGCGCTTGTGAAGTCGTCGAGCAAAATTCCGCACATACATGAAGTTGTCATGGAGTTATAGCTAGTTATCTTCTTGTTGTACTTGCAAACTGGATACACACACCTCACAACTGAAACTGGGAGTCAATGCAACATTGCTTTCCATAGGAACAAGAAGAGTAAAATGCACTATTTGCAGTATTTTTGTAAGACCTTCTGTTGTTTTCTACAATAAGTGCATCTTCTCAAAAGCAGGTAAGTTGCCCCCTTTGCAAAGAAACCTTACAACGGGAAATATTGGATCTTCATAAAAGTGAACAGTGCACACAGAGGTTGCTTGTATGTCAATATTGTGAGTACCAATTGCCTGCAATTGAACTTCATGAACATCAGGTATAATTTATCATTTACCTTTGAAGCTACTCCCTCTATAACTTAATATAAGACGTTTTTTGACACAACAAACACTTCCGCTTCAGTACAACCTAAATACGTGAAGGGCTGAGAATGATCTGTACATTTTCATAATAAAGGGCATGATGGTCTTATTTCAAACAAACTTCCGCGCTGTAAGTAGAAATACATAGGCCTAACCGGCCACGGGCGAAGCGTGCGGGCCAGCCCATTTAATCCTTCTCTTACTGGTGACCTCCAAAAAATTATGCATGCACTGTGATTCGAAATCGAAACCTCCAATTCTAATACATAGCAAAGTAACCAAGGAGGAAAACTACCACTTGTGTCTAGATTCCATTTTTCTGCGTCCTGTACAAAGTCAGCTCGCATGCTTGGGCTTGCCCAACAGGCCCAGACGGCGTGCTGGGCCATGGCTGTCGCACTTTTCCTTATCTATTTATTACTTTTTCTTTCTTTTTTTGTTATTTTTTTTTCTTGAGTTTAGTTATTTTTCTCGTTCACAATTTTCAACAAGTGTTGGGATTTTTTTTAGCATTTTTTATAAAATTGTTAATTCTTTTAACATTTTCATACATATTTTGAAATTCCAAAATTATTGAAAAATTTAATATAAATGGTTAGAACATAAAGATATGTTGATGTTGGTTTGTAA